CCCCCACCTGATTCTTCACTAATTAAACATAATTTTAAAAAAAACACGGTCAGGAAGCTGGCGTTGCCCTGAGCCCAACCCAGCACGACTGGGAGTCACTCCGGAGTGAAAGCGGTCTGGCTCAGGGTTTTTTGCGCTCCTTAGGCGCGCTTCCTCCGTAGCCAGGTCTATGGGACGCAGAAGGATTTGCTTCAGAGGAGACCCGTCTGGAGAGGGTCTTTCTTTGGCAAGTACCCGGCGTAGAGTAGACCCATTGACTCCATGGGACTTACCGAAGCCTGGACTCACGACTCTCCGGTTGATTCAATGGGGTCTACTCTAAGCTGTGCTTGCGTAATTAAAAAAAAAGGGAGGCTCTCTGGAAAGCGAGAGTGTAAATTTTTTACACCACTTTCTTATTCCCTCTGTTTTCTCCTTGGAGGGAAAATCGCACCCAAGCCAACCCAAAAGACGTTGCCTGGGGAATGTAGTTCGGGGCCACGTTACCTTGGAGTAAATCTTCCAAGTGACCGAGGCCGAGTAGTGAGACTTTAGACTTTTCTCTGTTTTTGGTTACACGGTGTGAAATCTTTTTTTTCCCCTTCTCCACAAGATAATTACGGAATTTCAGGGAAAAACGGTATATTTCAGTTATTAAATCCCAGTGGGTTTATGATGGGTGTCTTAAAACAGAAAGATGTGGCGCCATGTTACCTACACATTCAAGAATTATCCTGTTTTTTCCGGCTGGTTATTTCTTCAGTTAGTTGGGAAAAGATTTAGTATCATTGGCAAGACCCTTTAAAAAACCCTTCCTTCCTTCCTTCCTTCCTTCCTTCCTTCCTTCTGAAATAAAATTCAATTTTCCAATTCATCCAGAAAGAAGTAAAAATTCTGAGAACTTGACATTTTCCCCAAGATCACAAGGGCCTCGCCTATTTGCATAAAATAAAACTTATAGTTATTCACTCGAGGACGTAGCTCCCAATATAGTGGCCATCAAGCCACTATTATCGAGAGCAAGCCAATAAAACGATTATTCGTTAAAGTTATCTACCACCATGTAAACTTACTCTTTTTGAGTAAACCACAGAAAAGTAGACCTAGGATCGTGGTTGCAGTCTTACCTACCGCTGATTTAAGTTCTCCTCAATCCAGCGACGGTTCTGTTGGGTTTACCTCCAGGTAAGGCTGCATTTATTTAATTTACTACTCATTCTTATTTCTTTGCATCTATTTACCCGAGAGCAAACGGCGTGGAAACCTGTCCTCCATGGGGGCTTACTCCCGTTTAAGCAGGAGGAAAATCGAGCTGTCTTTGAAAGAAGGATATTTTTTTTGGCTTTACCTCCAACAAAATAAATGGGGAAATGATCTTATCCAAAGGAAGATGGATGTAGGGATGTGATCAAGAAGGGAAATCGTCTGTCTCTCCAAATTTAAAGAAATATATCGAGAGGCAGGTAAAATTCAAAGACAGCTTGAGCCCCCTCCCATCTTTTCTAGTGGATGGAAAACCCAAAATACAGGGGGGCCTTATTATTGCTCCCAAATGCGTTGCTTAAGACTTGGCGACGGGTATTGATCTGTGTGTCGGTTTCATTCGCATTTAATAGCCAAACCCCCGTGTATCCCTCTGCACGTCTGGACATGGCGTTTCTGTCTACCCTTCTCTAGTGCGCATGAGAAGGCAGAGGGCAGACAATTGGACCCCTCCAGAAAAAGGTTCACCAAACCCACAGATTTGGTGTTTGCAGGCGGACCTTCCTCACAAACCAGGGCTCCCTGAAATCGGTTTGAATTCGGATTGGGGGCCTCTTCAGGGGGTGAAATGAAAGGCATGAAGCAAAACCTGGTCTCCGATCCCAGGCCAGTCCGACCTTTCAGTCCGAACATTTCAAAACCATTTCTGATGGGTAATGACTGATTCGTTTCAGGTTGACCCGGAAAGCATAAGAAGGACATGGAAGAGTATAAACCTATAAAATCTAAATCTCTAAAATCATATACCTATAGATAAAGCTATAGAAATAGATACAGACATGATTTTATATATTTAAAAATAATAGATGTGTAATATAATATGTAACATATAACAGATATAAATAATATATATGGTTTTATAGATTTATACTCTTCCATTTTATTTCTGTATTAAAATACAATATTATAATAATTTTGATGCAACATTTATAATGTAATTTAAATATAAAAATGACACATACATGTATATACAAAGCTCGCACCCCTTTCCTTGCTTATATATAGGCCCACTGTGTTTTCCTCTTCTTTTCTAAAAAGAAACACACCCTTTTGGGAACCTCCATGTTTAGGAGAAATATACCTCTGTGCTGCAGATATTTGAGGATCGAGCTTTCTTGCTTTCTTCGTGGGGAGCTGGAAAGGCAGGACTAACCCCAGCCCCAAAAGAACTACAGTACTTAATTTTGTGGGTTTGCCAAAGCAAGTTCTCCCTACCTTTATATTCCGAATCGGAAGAGGATTTAAAATTTTCCAAGAGAATTGTTAGTTTGGTGCAAGGAATAAAAATTTGCCGGGAAGAGAGAGAGGGAGAGAGGGCTGGGGGGGGGAAGAGAAAGGAAGGGCTGTGAACTAAAGTGAAAATCACCCCACTAAAGAGTGGCTTTTGTTTGTGGGTTTGCCAAAGCAAGTTCTCCTACCTTTATATTCCGAATCGGAAGAGGAATTGCTTCCGCCTTTATCCATCTTCTCCCGAAAATCCTCGCCGGCCTTGGCCGGGGTTCGAACCGGCGGCTCCTGCGCGCTTGGTCCATTGGTGCTGGAGTAAGGGGCGCAGGCTGCCAAAGGTTTGCAATCGGCCAAAATGTCCCTGATTAAGAAGGAAGAAGTCACCGTTCTGGATTGCGCAGGAGCGGAGATCTGTCCGCCTGGCAGGTGAGGATCGAGCCCCACCGCCACCCCCGACCGGGGGGGCACCGTCTCCAAGCAGTCCCTCCCGGGCGAGTGGGGAGACGGGCAGGCGCTGCTGATTTCGGAGCGGGGGCTGAGTTCCAAGGGGGACCGGCCTTCGCCCATGAGCGGATCCCCTTTGGGCAGGGCGGGACTCCCCGGTCGATGGGAGAGGAGGGAGTCGATCCCAAAGGCGTTGGATCCTTCCATGTCTTTCAGGGTGACATTGACTGGCCGTCCGGATCAAACCCAAGGTGTGGGTCGGGGGGCGGCGGCGGCAGCGTCGGGGGTCACAGAGGGACACGGAGCCAGGCGGAGGAGGCTGCGGATCTCAATCCGAAGGAAGTCCGGTTAGCAACAATCTGGAGTCAAAATTTAAGATCCAAGAGGTGGGCGATCTTCTTGGGAACCCCCCGCCTTTGAGCGAGCTGCAAGGGGAAAGAAGGAAGGGAGCGGGAGAGGAAGGCAGGCAAAAGAGAGGAAAAGAACGAACGAGAACCGAAGGCGAAGTAAAAGAGAGAACGATCATCAAAAAGTGGAGAGGTCGAGAAAGTCAGGTTTTACTTGGGCACCAAAAAACACAACATAACTCGATTGCTCGAAATCTGCCCCACTGGGAAAGAACGATCATCAAAAGTGGAGAGGTAGAGAAAGTCAGGTTTTACTTGGGAACCAAAAAACACAACATAACTCAAAGAAATGATCGCTCGAAATCTGCCCCACTGGGTTCAACGGGGGTTGACTCCCAGGTGAAGGTGCGAAGGATCAGATTTCCATTTCAGACTAGCCCCTCCAACCCAACCCACCCACCCGTAGACTCTACGAAAACTAAAAAATACCGGCGAGAGCTCTCCCAACTGCCCCTCAAAGTTTAAGCCAGTCTTTAAGAAGGACGGGAGCGGAAGATAAGACGCAGAGAGAGAGAGAGAGAGAGGTCGGAGTTACAAAAGAACCGAGGCGAGCCTTCTTTGGGGAGGGAGACCGACGGAGGGGGGGGGGTGGTTTCTCAGGACCGGGGACAGCGCTTGCGATCCGGTTCCAATCCCGTCTGTGCGCGGAGAAGCCCAAACCGCCGCCACCCCGTCCCCATAAGATGGGTGATGGGTGGAAAAAAAAATTCAGCGCCTTTGGAAAAGTCGAGGCGGGCACCATAGGATCGCGACCACACCGCCACCCCTTCTTTGGGAAGGAGCTACGGAAAAGCAAAAGTCCCCCTGATGCTTTAGAGGCGAAAAGTCCCGGACGCGCGTCCTTTCAGCACCACGGACAGCTCCGCCTGGCAAGACGTTGCTCTCTTTCAAAAAAAGAAGAAAAAAAGAAAATTCAACGCACACGCGCCTTGCTGCCTGTTATACACACGTACACACACACACACACGTCCCTCAACTTGTTTCGCTTTAGTTTGGAATTTTCTTCTCCTTCCTCCTCTTCCTCTCTCTCTTTTTTAATTTATTAAACCCAAGGAGCCCAACTCCACGTGTTCTCCTCCCTCCCTCCTGATTGGCTGGCCAGCTTTTAGGGTGATGTCACTCTCTCTCTCTCACACACACACACACACAAGCCACACACACTCGTGGAACTTGATCTCTCCTCGGTTTGATTAAAAGAGACACTGAATTAATTACAGCCCAGATCCAACTGTTAGCGGGCAATTTCCACCCTGTTTCCTATCATTACGCCCCTGATGAAGTTCTAAAAGGGGTGATTAGTAATACGGTGGGGTTTGAGGGAGGAGGTGGAACCGATTTCTGTGTCTGCGGGGGTATGCGAATTCGGGCGCAGTCTAAAAAAAGAGAGTTATTTTTGGTCTCGAATTAGCTGAATCATTGTCGCTGATAAAAAGGGTTTTGAAAATAGCTACAGCCGGCGTAACTCTCTCTCTCTCGCTCTTTTGTATTAAAGAAAAGATTAATTATATAAAAGCTCTGTAAAGACCAGACAAGCAATTTTAAAACTGTTAATCGCTCCTAACAAGGAAGCTTTAATGTGTTTCTGTCCCCCCCCTCTTTCTTCCCTCTTTGTTTATTGACTTTATTTATTTTAATTTAGAAAATGTTGATTTTAAAAAAAAAAATAACAAAGGCAACGTTAACAGACCCAAACTGGAAAGATTAAATGAGCAGAAAACACATTCGGATTTTTTTATTTTTATTTTTTGGCTTTCTGGCTTCTGTTTGGCTTCCATCCCCCCCCACCCCCTTCCTTAGTTTCTGTCTTTTTCCTTAAAAAAAAAAGAGAGATTTTTTTCTTGGAAGAATCATCTCACCTGGGAACAAGCCAGTTTTTATATAAGTTTTCCACCTCCACCTATTCGGATATGAGCTTTACTGAATCCAGGAAGACACGCGTAGAAGAAATTAAAGAATAAAACTTTACAGTATCCTCCGTAGAGGTCTTAATTTGGAACCCAGATTTGAATTCATCAGCACATCCTCCGAGGAAAAAAGGGTTTAAAATATAAAAAAAACGAACACAGGTGGGTTTACCTCTCGTACATCCACAGAGATCTTTTTGAGCACTTTCTTTATAATAAGGGAATCTCACTCACACACCCCTCCTTAAACACAGAAGTGTCTGGGAAAACTTAGAAAAAATCTCAATAATTTTCAGTGAGTTTCCTCCCTAGGGAAAAATGTGTAAGCTTTCTAGAGTCACTGGACGCAGATCATAAGGTGTGCTTGATTTGGTTGAAAAATACCAAGCTAAGATCCTAAATAAGAGGAATGTTCATATGACAGCCTGCGTAGGGTTGACGTAGAAGCCGAGAGTAAGAAGAGTCCTGTTGGTACAAAACCCAACGAAGAATCTTGTGGCTCCCGGAAGACTAACAATTCTGTTATATCTCGCGCTTTCCCACATTATAATTGACTTCATATGTTTTTTTTTTTTCCAGAATTTCTGGTGTGCCGCATGCGATACAGACGGCTGGAGGTGGGGTGACAGGCAGAAAGGAAGGAACGGAAATGCAGGAGGAACTAGTAGTGAGAAGTTACCGGGCGTTACAACGACGGAGAGCCAGCGACGTTATTAGCCAGGGAGGGCGTTGTTTTAACAGCTGATTCCTGCTCACGGAGGCTCCAAATCACCCAGGTATTTGGCTCGGGGTGGCTGTTGACTATTTAATTTTAAATTGGATTTAAAATGATTTTAAAAAAATAAATTCACTAGTTTCTTTCAAACAGCAGAGGAAACCCCCCCAAAAAAACCCCCCAGATCTTGGTGGGGAAAAGGTTCCGGCTTAATGGTGGGAATCACAGGTTTTCAGCCTGTATCGGATAGCCTCGCCTCCTCTCTTCCAAATGCAGTTAAATAAAGCAATATACACGCACGCACGCCCCTCTCCCGCCAAACGTGCAAGGTTTAATTTGAATTCCACATCTGGAAACATCAGCCCCCAGTATCTAAACATTTTGCAGCCGATCCTGGGTTGGGGGGGTTGGTTTGCATCCTCTTTGGACCCTCCAGTTCTCCCCCCCCAAAAAATATATATATATATAAATCGTGCTTGGCAAAACCAGCAAGGACAGAAGATCTAGCCGACGTGTCATCATCATCAGCGCAACAGTAGTAGCAGCCGCTCAAGGTGGATTAGGAACCACCTCCCGAGTAATCCAAATCAAAGTGAATGGACCGGATCCAAGAAGCAACAGTTCAGACGGGGGGGGGAGCCTCCTTTCTTTCCCTTGCCTCGAGTCCTCCTCGGGGGGGGGCACACGACCTGATGATCTCTATGGGGCCCCTTCAAGCTCTGCAGTTCTGGGATGAAGATGATGACAACGACGACGATGCAAAACGTCCACATTTGGGCTCAGTAATTCGACTGGCTGGAGAGCTGAGTGGTTTGGAGTTTGATTCCCGATGGGGTCTTCTTAACCAAGGCTGGACTTGACTATCTCTAGTGTCCCTTCCAGCTCTGTAGTTCTAGGATGATGATGATGATGATGAAACCCGCTTTCTCAAAAGCCCCTTTCCATTCCCGGAGTCCAGCGCAGCGTGGCCAACGGGGAAGGTTTAGCTGATCTGCTGGATCGCTCAGTGGTTTAGGTCCCTGGTCACGAGTTCGAATCCTCCCCCGCTGGGCCTCCTTGACAGGGGCTGGACTGGATGACCCCGAGGGTCCCCCTTCCAGCTCTGCAGTTCTAAGAGGGATGATGTCCTGCCTTTTCCTTGCCCTTCTCGCCCTCCGGCTCCTTCCTCACCCCCTCTCCTCCTCCAGCGCCAGAGCTGCCCGGCCTGCTGGGTGGAGGTCCCCCCCCTCTTTCTTTAGCTCTCTAGCAGCTTGTAAGCGGGTGCGGAAGGCTTTTCTCTCTCAGCAGGAGTTGGGCTGGCCTTCCTTGCCCGGTTGCAAGCTGTCAGGAGCAACATGAGAGAGAGAGTGTGTGTGGGTTTGTGTCAAGATCTGAGACAAACAGAGAGGGAGGGAGTAGGAGGGAAGGGCGCCACCAACTCATAAGCTGTCTGGAAGCCTACTTTTTTTCCTCTCCCATTCCCTCGTTTCCTAAGCCTTTATATCAGGGCTGGCTGGACATCTCAGTGAGTTAGATCTCTGGCTGAAGAGCCAAAAGTTGGGAGTTCGATTCCCCACTTGCACCTCCTGGGAGATGAACAGCCAGCCTGGGTAGCCTTGGGCCAGCTGCACCGTCCCAAGGTTGCCCCTTAGAGGAAGGGAACCACTTCTGCGGATTCTCTACCTGGAAAGTCCAGAAAACACCTGGCTGGATAACTCTGTGGTTTTAGGTCTCTGGGTTGGGAGTTCGATTCCCGACTGGACCTCTTGGGAGAAGAACAGCCAGCTTGGGTGGCCTTGGGCCAGCTGCACCGTCCCAGAACACACACCCTCCCCCAGAAGAAATGGGGAAACCACTTCCGCTTCTGAGAATTCTCTTCCTAGAAAAACCTTGGCAAGGGTTGCTATAAGTAGGAATCAACTTTACGCACATTACTGTTATTCAGAAAGACCAACCACAGTCAATCAAAAGTATAATAAAATTGGCTGGTGTGGTATATAACAGATGGAAGTTTTAACCGAAAATTTAAGTATCTCTTAAATATCAGCACAGTGATGGTGATGATGAGGAGGAGGAGGACAATTATACCATTACTGTCCCAATATACGGTAAAGGGAGGCCCCCTGAGGCCAAAACTTTATAGAGTGAAATTCCAGATTTGTGCTTTTGGAACAGAGTGCCCCCTGCATTCAATGGTCTTTACTCGTGAGTAAAAAGGCACGGTCTTACATCCTTCAGCTTTGAAAAACCACACATTTAATCCAGAGTGGAGCGCCACCTTATGGATAGTGATTCGGAAGTCAGGCACACTCGATTTCGATTTCTTTCCATCTGGTCAGAGGCTGTGCTTTTTCTCTCAAGCTGTGTGAGGACTGACTCTGGTCCTCTGGATGTTGCGAGACTCCAAGACCCATCGTTCCTGGCTGTGCTGCCTAAGGCCGATGGGAGATGGAGTCCACCAACATCTGGAAGGCATCTGGCTCTCCGAAGTGGGGCTCAAACCATCTAGACAGCTGCTTCTCCAAGTAGTATTTGGGGAGGAAGGAAGCAATGTAGTGGTGAAGGAATCATACAATAAATAACACCATCCACCTTTCATAGGGGCAGCTATAAAAGGACAGAAGAATTTGAAATGTGGATTATTATATATATTTTTCTGTGTGCCCACATGCAAAATCTGGACATGCATGGCATTAAAAATGCAATAAAAACTTATCCTCTGTTCCCTGTTCACGACACCCCGTTTCTCCTGCTTAAGACGCCTGCTCACACTGCCTAAGGGTAGAGCAGGTTCCGTTCAGCATACCTTCCCCTCTATTATTGTGAAAGAGGAGACCTGAAAGTGAGTTAACTTCCAGGTAAACGCATATATGTAATTATTGCATGGATATCTCAGCTCAAAGTGTTATCCATAGTTTCTTCCTGGACAGCCATCTGTCCGATCTGCTTTGGATTCCTGCCTTGAGCAGGGGGCTGGGCTTGATGACCTTACGGACCCCTTCCAACTCTATTATTCTAGGATTCCTCCACTCCATCCCCATTTTGTCCTCCAAAGAGCCTTGCAAAGTAGATTAAACCGAGAGGTAATGTCCAGGCAAAGTCACAGTTGTGTGAAATGACCTAGCTGAATGGAAATCTGAAAGCATATTCCCTTTATTCCTAGTGTTCCAACCACTATAGCACGCTGCCTCTGATTCATACGTGCTATTACAGCCCCCCTTTTCTAGTCTAAAGAAATACCAGTTTTCAGAATGTTATTCCCACCCCTCCCCAGATCTAGTGTCTGAATTCAGCAGTGTAGAGTGGTTGGGGTGTCACCCTAGGAGTCAGAAGGCCTGAGTTCGAATCCTTGCTCAGCCATGGAGATTCGCCAGGTGGCGGCAATGGGAAGCAACTCCGCCAACATCTCATAGAAAAAGCGACATCGCAGTCACCAGAAGCTGGAAGCCACCGAACGCCACAGCCCGACACCATCTCCGGCTATGTTCGGCCGGATTAATTTTGCAAACCTTTGTCTTTCTGTGGCTTGACGTCCTGGGAACCCAACAGAGATTGTGGGAAGGTGGAAGATGGCCCGACAGCCTTCCAGAAGGGGATGGAAAACAGAAGAAGGACCACAACAGTCTTCCCACCACCAAAAAAAAGAGGGAGATTAATAACATTAATGAAAAACCAGGCTGCAGAGAACTGGTGACATCATGAGAGTTCGCCAGTGGGTGTCACTGTCGGATAAGCAGTGTGCTTGGGAGGAAAAAAAAGGGATTTAAAATATAGGAAAACCTGTAGGAGGAGGCAGAATTCACCGGGAAGGCGAGAAGTTTCAAGGAGAAAATCGAAGTTCCTTTCCGAAGCGTCTGCATCTCAAAAATGTGGGTGTTGCAACTGGAGTAGTGTGGGAGGAGAGAGGCATTTCAAGCTATAGTTATGGGGAGGTGAAAAAGACGAGTCAGGTAGGAGGAAAGGAGACGGTCGGAGAACTCAGAGGTTTAAGCATCCAGCTCTGGAGCCAGAGGTTGGGAGTTCGAGTTTTCTGCTGTGCCCCTTGATCGGGGCTGGACTGGATGATCTCAAGGGTCCCTTCCCGCCCTGCAGCTCTAAAATGATGAGGTTCAAGCATACGCTGTGACAAAGGGTGGGGAAAAAAGGCTGCCACAGCTTCGCAGACATGACAGCAAACGAAAGAAAGCGATTTATATTTTGAGATCTATTTTTTATAACTCACAGTAATCACTGTATGTTTGCAGCCACACCGACAGGCTATAAAAGTAGGTTGCCATCCTGGACATTCCCCACCCCCCCTGAGAAGTCCTATTTAACTCCATGGTGTCCTAGGATGGTGATGTTCAAGAGGAACCTTAAAGGCTAAGAGTAAAATCCTACAGATCGGCCCTTAGCACTTCCTCCCATACTTGAATTTTTTCAAAATTTTAAGTGTCTTCTGTACCAAATATGAATAGATTTTAAGGGATTTGTCCTGAATGTCCGCCGACCTTGGGTAACCCAGATGTTCTTGGACTACAACTCCCGGAAATCCTGGCCCGTGCAGCTAGCGGTGAAGGCTTCTGGGAGTCGTAGTCCAAGAACATCTGGGTTACCCAAGAGAAGAGGTGTGCGAAGCCAGGAGACCAGTTGGGACATCCTATTGACCCACATCTCGCCTACAAGTAGGACATTGCCTTTTCCTCATTTCACGTGTATTTCTGTCGTTGGGATTTAAGCCCAGCGGATCGTTTGCCTGATGTGCTCCTGATCTTCGGTCAACAGCTGCAGGAAGCCTTTTTCTTGGGCTGAACAGAACGACAAACGCTTCCGATTAATTACTTAAGGAATTATTTAATGCCAAGTACAATTGTGAGTTTAATCGACCAGACCAAGACCAACCCAGCTTCTTCAGACTTGACACGGAAACCCTGCAATTAAGCACGGTAAGAATGCTCATTTTGGACACGAGCTGATTTATTTGTTCCCCCCGGCCATCCTGGCTCTTAACCGGTGGTGTAGAGGCCTTGTGCCAGGGTCCCGATCCTCACAGGGATTTCTGCACGGAAGGCTTCCATGGCTTTATCATAACGCTTCTGGTCCTCAAAGGTGGAGAGATGGGGACCGACCTAGAGAGAAAGGAACAAAGACAGATCACAAACCGGTTGCTCTTTTCACATTGACCCAAGCCCATTGTCACCTTATCTCGAGGATACTGGGAACCGTAGTCCAGAAAGTAACTTTTCCAAGCCATAAAGAGACACTGGCCTGAGATTCTGGAGAGCCGTTGATGGTTAGATGGGATAACACCGTGCTAAATGATTTAAGTTCTAGGAATCCCCAGATGTTTTGGGTTTAAAACACCCAGTATTCTTGGCCGTAGGCAGGCCTGGCTGGGGCTTCTGGGTGTTGTATCCTGGGCGTTGAATTCATGTTGAATTGACCTAACACGCACCCATCAGAAGGAAGGTTTTCCATCTTTTGTCTCTTCCAGATGTTCAGGATTCCCTGGCAGCTGGGGATTCCGGGAACCGAACACCCTCAACATCTGGAGACATAAGCTTGGGCATCTGAATGGGCATCGTGTCGTTTCCTGGGATGAAGGCTACGAGAAAGTGGTGTGTTTCTCTTCTCGCCCCATATCTCCAAGACCTATTTGCGCCTCTCCGTGTCGAACGCATTCACAAGACTGCCCTCCCCACCGTGAAGGCTACGAGAACGTGGCATGTTTCTCTTCTCGCCCCGTCTCCAAGATCTATTTACGCCTCTCCGTGTTGAACGCATTCACAAGACTGCCCTCCCCACCCTTTGGGGAAACGGATGATTAAGCCTTTTCGGCCCACTTTGGAAACCTTATCCCACACTTAGCCAGAGGACTTAATGAACGATTCGGAGACCGACGGCAGAGCCTTCTGATCGGCAGACGAAATCTTCAGCTGCAGAGATATAATTGTGGACGCCCAGGGATTAAGTCCTCATGTCTCGTAAGAGCAGATCGGTTGACATTTTCCTAGGTAGACGTATAAATTCATAATTACGCTCTGCTCGAAGCAGGCTTGTGTGTTTTTTTTGGGGGGGGTGGATGGGGAGGAAGGAGAAGTGTGAGCAGATCATAGAGGGTGGTCCTCAAACTCTCCGGAAACCCACTGAACCCAGAAGATCCAGTCGGTTTTACTATCAATTAATATTATTTGCAGAATATTTCCAAATGGTCAGCTAATTAAGCGCATTGCAAAGATCCGACCATGGGGGTGTTGACAGAAATGAAATAAGTTGTACGTCCATGATGAACATCTGTAAAACAGGCTTATCCATAAAGGAGGATCTCCACTGTACCTCTGTATGAGTAACTGATCTGGCTAGGGTCATTTCTGTAAGGATCGGTGGAATAGCGGAACTGGTTTCTCGGGGTTTTGAATTAGAGGTTTTAGATTATTAGAGGGGTACTTGAACCACCCACTGACACTCCAACCCAGTCCTCATCCAGATCTGTGACAGTATTTGCCTCCATGAAAAAGCCCCATGGAAAGGCCACGGAGTCATTACAGAGGCACAGATATCATCTGAATCTTCTCTGCAGTTTCTGGGAATAACTATTGAGTCCAGATTAGTTGTCGTTTCTAGATTCTTGCCTGCTGCTAACTTTGAAGGGGAGTTGCTGCCTTGGACATCCTTAAGCCACTCCTCGAAGAAAACAAAGCAGTGGCAGATGGTGTTGATCCAAATCAAGAAGCCAATTCCAGCCATTTTCTTTGCTACCAGGAACAGGTCTTTTGTAAAGCCAACGGATCTGAATGGCCCATCGGGGACCCATCTACTGCAGAAGACTTTGCAGTACAGCAGGAATAGTTTGTAAGTATACGCCTCTCACTGGCACTACAAGCCACCAGCTTCTCTCTCTCTCTCTCTCTCTCTCTCTCTCTCTCTCTCTCTGTGTGTGTATGTGTGTGTGTGTGTGTGAGAGAGAGAGAGAGAGAGAGACAGAGAGAAGACAACCTTGATGTCCCTCTTAATACACAACAGAAACCAAAGTTGACCACCAGGCTCATAATTTCGCTCAGTAATAAACCAACCTTTCTAAGGCCCCCTCCACCGATCTTTCCCCACCCCCTGAGTGTACAGGAGTGCTCCTTAGTGCAAAAGGATCTAGTTTCACTGGCCCCCTCCAGCTATGAATCCTTGACTCTTTTTTTTTCCCCTGAAGGCCCAGGCCATTAATTTGAGCGCCTTCTTCAGCAAATCTGCCTCGAACTTTGTTCCCCGCGGGCGTGTGACAAAACTGGGCCTTCATGTGGGAAGGACGCCGGCGAGTCGCCTTGCGAGGCGATTTCCCGCCGGGGGCCCTGGAAAGCCGCCGGAAGCACTCCGGGGGTGTGTGATGCGCACCCACCTTGTGTGTCGCACGCCTCCGTGTACACGCGCAGATATACACGGATGCAAATGACGATCGGCGGAAGGGGGGGGAAATACAAACCATCACTTGCCAACGTTTGGCAGCGAAATAATGAGAAACACTAAATTTTTTATAAGGTCAACACTCCAGAAGCTGTCAAACAAGAAAAGAATTTAGCGGGCGAGCCGCGGAGAAAAACTTCCATCGCCTCATTAAGACCTACAGGCCCGGGCCGTTGCATGGGGGGGGGGGGGAAGAACACGTGTGGGGGGGTGCCTCCGTTTTGTGTGGGGTAATTTGTGGGGGGAAGAAGGAGGCAGAGGGAAGAGGAAAACAGCCAGCGCCGAAGGGCCCAACGGAGAGGCTGGGGAATCGTTAGCGCTCCAGGAGCGGCCTCGTCTCCTAATTGGAACCATTGGGCATTATCAACGGAGAATTTGCTTCAGCTCTCTGACAGCTATGGAGGCTGGAATGATAGGCCACTTGTCAGTGTAAAAGACCATTAAAAACAAACCATTTTGATTTAATTGGAGGCGGTACGCTGCCGGGCCCAGGTGAGCTGTCTCATCGGCTGATGGTGGCGACGACGGAAGCCTTTCTGATTTCCTGCCTTTCTTTCTCTTTCTCTCTTTTTTCGATATTGATGAGTTCTCTGCCAACGTTGGCAACACCCCCACCCGCCCCCTTTCAGACTCCTGCCTTTCATAAACTGCCGGAGAGTGAAAGATCGCTTGCTGTCACTTGAGGAGATGCTTTCAACCGGATTGCCAACAAAATGCTGTGACAAGTTCCAGAGTGCTGGTCTTTATATACGTATATATATATTTCCATGTATAAGACCATACTTTTGTCTAAAATCTTTAGACTAAAAATTGAGGGTCGTCTTATACACGGAAGTAAGCTGAGGAGAGAACGAAAACAAGTGGAGGGGAAAGCAGGGATCAAAGCGATCCTGCAGCGCTTTGATCCCTTTCCCCCTACACTTGCTAAGCCCCACTTTAGATTTCTTAATTTTGGGTTAGAAAAGTGGGGGCGTCTTATACACAGAAAAATATGCTAATTCTGTGTTTGCGCTGGATTTGTTCTTGAGGGAGACAAGAACACCCATTTGTAGGGGGTGCCAGGGTGTGTGTTTTACTGGAGATCCACACAGGGAAGTTCGATGTGTCGTCCCTCTGACACTGAAGGTACATAAAAATAAAATTGGCTGGTTGAAGAACCAGAAGGGACGGCAATGATGGGGAGGCGTGGGTACCTAAGTTCAGCTTGGAGGTCGGTTCTAAGCTTGTCTGCGTAGGCCACTGGGCTTCTCCGGATGTCCAAACTTTACGGTGGGACCAAAGTACGGTGGAGGACGTTACTCTTTCCATCATAACTCAGCAGAGTTGCTGCCCAGTTGGGTTTAAGTCATGCTGGTGACTCAACCTGGGTTTCTTTTTTTCAATGACTTGGATTTGACTTGCGACTCAGACTTTGGATCATGCCAATGAGAAAAAACCCCTTTCACGCTGGTTCTGCCAACTTGAGTCTTTATCCTATTCGGTGACTTCCAAATCACCCTGTCCTCTATGGGGTGGGAGCAAGACATTCCTGGGGTCCCCGCTCCTTTTAAGAGGTGTGCCGTTCTTGCTTTCCGCGAAGTAGTCGTAGAGTTTTCAGCCGTTCTTTCAAGATTCACAGAGGATGGGGGGGGGGAATCTTTATTTCCCCAACTGTACGCAAATCTTGGCCAATGATGGGTTTCCTTGAGAATCCAGCCAGCTAGCACCAACGCATTGCGTCAAATGTTGAGTCATGAAGGGAAAACACGTCATCTTCATCTTAGAACTGCAGAGTTGGAAGGGACCTGATAGATCATCCGGTCTGCCCCTTGAAGAAGCAGCACAGTGGGGAATCGAACCTCTGGCTCTGCAGGTAGAGACCTAAAACACTGATAGACTTTTAATGTCTGGAAAGAATGAGAACACTGAGCTAAACAGCTGTTCCATAGACTTTTAATGTCTGGAAAGAATGAGATCATGACAGCTCTGCTCAGCATCCAAATTCTAAAATATTGTGCGCACCCCTAAGAAAATGAGAAAATGCAACATACGGCAGATACGTGTCTCCGTGTACACATGTGCCATGTGCAGGGCATACATTCTCAGCTGCCTGTTTTTTTGGGGAAAAAGCAGGCAGTGGGCTCCTACGAAACCCCCCCGTGCGTATCAAATTCTGGAGCGGAGGACCGGCAAAAGTTGATACAGTTAATGATTTCTTAATTATTCTCTCTGGATTTGGGGTTTTAAACAACAACCTGCGAGAGGTTTGCTAGGTAACAAGAGGGAGGGTGAAAGAGAGCTATTCCCCAGCTGAACAGAGGCTTTTGAGTTTTGCACCAGGTTGCAAATTAAGTCTTTTGCTGAGGTTATCGAAACGTTGGCTTGCCGACTGCTTAATGCTGGTTTGTTATCGAGCAGCGATCAGAGTTTTCCTTGCTTTGTCCGCCTCCAACATCCACCGTGGCCTCGCCTGGTTCTCTTATATTTCTTGTCGCCATAGCCTAACAACAAGACAAGCCCGAGATATTTCTGCCGCCAGGGGCGTATGCCTGGGGTTGGGAGTTCCGATTCCGCCCCCAGTGTCTCCTTGACAGGGGCTGGACTGGATGACCCATAGGGTCCCTTCCAGGTGTGCCATTCTAAGAGGATGATGAGGATCTTTAATGAATTAAAGGATAAGCAACCATTCAAAACCCGAAAATGAAAAAGCAGTATTGACCAAGAAGTGGGCAGCCAGGGAAAGGAGTCTGAAATATTCCAGTTCGGCGATTTCCCCTAATCCACTGCTGATATTACCTCCTTCTTCACTTACTCCTCTTTTCGTCAGTCAACTGGTCGGGACGAAACCGCGTCCTGGGAGACCCAAATTTGAGATGGCTCTCCCCCCCCCAGGCAAAGATGTGCCTTCAAATAAGAACCAAACCGTACGACCGTCTAAAATCCTGGAAATCAAGTGCTCGGCTTAAAGGCCGTGTGCGCCATTATTCTGAGGCATTGGGGCTTGAACTCCGAACCCAGATGTGAAAAATATTCAATTTGTCCAGCCTTTAGTGACTGAATGACTGTGTAATTTCAGAGACGCCTCGGCCGGGAGGGGAGAAAGGAAAAGACCACCAGCCATTAGAGGGGAAAAGGGTTTCTTTCTTTCTTTCTTTCTTTCTTTCTTTCTTTCTTTCTTTCTTTCTTTCTTTCTTTCTTTCTTTCTTTCTTAACCCATGGTGCTCCAGCCTCGGAGCAGGATTCACAACCATGCTCAATTTGGGGTTACCCTGAGAGAAATCCAGGGAGGATAATTAGGAGTTTTTAAAAAACTATTTTGTGCCCCTTTTTAAAAGCTTTGAGAAATACGTGCTGGACAGCTCAGAGGTTTTGGCATCTGGCTGAAGAGGTTTGGAGTTCGAATCTCCCACAGGGCCTCCTGGATAGGGGCCAGACTGGATGATCTAGAAGATCCCTCTTCCAGCTCTGCCATTCTAAAAGGAGGAGGATGAGCAGGGCCTTTTTTCAAAAAAGCCACGTGGCCCCCCTCTTTTAACAAATGGCCAGCGTTTATTTTTCATGGGAAAGATGAGAGATAGGGGAGGAACTGGGCATCAAGTCCCATTCAGCGTACGGCAACCCTCATGGGGTTTCCCACGTGGGGGGAGAGATTTAAGGAGGGCCGCTTCCCAAGGGAGGTTCCATGGCTGAACAAGGATTTGAACTCAGGGTCTCCTGAGACCTGGTCCGATGCTCAACCCGCTGGCTCGGGAGAGGATAGCCATGAAGAGGAAAGGGTTTTGGGGTGCTCTGGACCTACCTTCTGAAAGTGGGCGATGCGCCATAGATGCTCCTCCTTCATCGGGGGCTGGTGCTTCCTCAGCAGCGTCGTGCGCGTGTCGTACACCTTCCCCCTGCGCTTCTAAAGACGCCGAGAGACAAGGAAAACACAACCGAAATGTAGCCAAGCAGGACAGCTCTTGAGTTGTCTCCCTGGACCGCCAAGGGCGTCGTGAGCGTCGATTAACAAAAACGATGAGATCAACCACATCCTTCCATGGGTTTTCTGATTTCCTCTAGCCCAGTGGTTCCCAACCGTCGGTCCCCGGACTATAACTCCCATAAGCCTTTGCCACAAGCTGTGCTGGCCAGGATTTCTGGGAGTTGTAGTCCGAGAACATCTGAATTACCCGAGGTTGGGAACCACAACCTTAGGGTCCACTCCAGTCCTCACACTAGCTGATGAGGGGACCCATTTCCCCAGTAGCGAGCTGTTCTTATTATTTCGCAAAATATTTCGGAGTGGTTTTTCGCCATGATTTTTAGTCCACTGCAAGACCATTCACTCATCTTTAGATGGTTCTGTAAAAGAACAGTGCCTCACAAAGTACCGTATTTTTCCAGTGTATAAGACTATACTTTTGTGTCAACTCTTTAGACTAAAAAATGGGGGTCGTCTTATACACGGAAGTAAGCTGAGGAGAGAACGAAAACAAGTGGAGGGGAAAGCAGGGATCAAAGCGATCCTGCAGCGCTTTGATCCCTTTCCCCCTACACTTGCTAAGCCCCACTTAGATTTCTTAATTTTGGATTAGAATAGTGGGGGTGTCTTATACATGGGGGTGTCTTATACACGGAAAAATACGGGTAAGTACCTTACTTTGCCTTACTGGATCTCTTTCCTAACAGATTCTATAAGGTGTCAGTGGTCTGAGATTTGTCACACCAGTGTCTCAGAGCGAGTGAGACTATAAGTGCCAGTGGAGGAGAACAAAATAATAAGGGGTGGTCGACTTTGGGGAGGCTTGATGCTAATTCTGTTCTGTAAGTTCCCGAAGTCTTTTCCTCTGCATAGCTAGAGATTTTTCTAGCCACTGCATCAATCCCAAGATCTGTTTACCTGTTGCTGTTTTTCGGCCTTCTCTGCTTTAATGAGTGCTCTTTGTTGCTCCATCCACATCTCTTTGTATTTGTGCTGCAGCAGATCGAAGAAAGGGGTAGAGGGCCTGAGGAACATTTAGAAGGGGAGAAGGTTGCAAGATTAACAATGATCCACCCACCCACCGGCCGGTCAAAGAAGCAAAACTTGTTTTAGTTCAACATTTCATGTACAGTACGTTGCCTTTTGCACTAAGAGTAGGAAATCTACAGTTCTCCCCCTGTTTCGGGCATTCCATCTCCCATTATCCCCAGTGCAGGTTTGAAATCGCTCTATGCTTAAGATCTGTCCCGCTTGAGAGTCCTCTCCTCCGTCAGAGACCTGGTTTTCTCTGCAAGGTCAAAGTGAAGACAGAAATTCGAACTCATTGCTGAAGACTTGGAACAGAGCAGTTTCAGGACTCTGGACAGCAACTGGAGGCTCTATTAGACCAGGAATGCAGGACGTATTCAGGACCATGGAGAGTGGCCCTACTGTAAATGGAAGGGAGCGCATGCCAAGGTTTTGCAGGATTTTTTGGGGGGGGACGAACCAGAAAAGTTACTTAAATGCTGCTTTTATAGTGCCTTTTGTATATGTGTTGGATTCTTCACAGCAGAAATAATTAGAATGTGTTTTGAGTCTGGAAACCATAGACTCATAGGGAACGGCAGGGGCTTTAATAATAAGCTGAGATGTAGCACAAGCAGTCGGGGGCTATAATTCAAATCCCTGCCGAATAATATCAAGTAGACTTTATCTGTAAATGTAAACATAGTTCTAAAAAACAAACAGAGGAGACAAAATTTAGATCATTTTAATGTTCACGATGCAGGCATTAAAACGGATAGAAGATTTTCTGAATCTTGGTCAAGTCATCCATCCGAACGGAGACCGCAGCCAAGAAATCAAAAGAGGAGTGAGATTTGGAAGGGCCGTCAGGAAAGAAGTAAGAAGGATTCTCAAGTGCCACGATGTGCTGCCGGAAAACAAGATTGAGATTATCCGTATCCTGGATTACCATGCTCCGATCTGAAAGCTGGGTAATGAAGAAAATGGACAGGGGGGGGGGAAATGGAAAGAAGGAAGTAGGGAAAGAGGAAGATTGTATGGGATCTGGATGGACTCAATAAAGGAAGCCACAGAGTTGAGCTTTGGAGATCATGAAGTCACAGGGTTGCCATGAGTCAGAAAATATTTCTACAATGGCAATGCAATGCAAACAGCCGCTCTTCCTATATGCTCCTGCTGTTACTTTTATTGCTAATTATTGCACACCGCACGGTTCGGAGAGGCTTAATTTATGCCCGTGTTTGCTAATGATGATATCGGTGTGATCTAAACTACGCATCCCCGGAGGCTGTTGATATACAAAAGAGACCTCATTTCTGTGGGCTGAAGAGGGAAGGAAGATCAGAGAGTGACACAGATCACAAGGCTGGCGTTCGTTATGATTACACGGTGTCTCTAGTTCAGAGCCGGCCCTGCGGTTGGACAGGCCAACGTAGCTGCCAAAAGCGAATTGATCTCAGGGCCTTCGTAAGGGAAATTTTGATTTCCTAAGTACCGCAAAACCAGCTTCTTCTTCTTCTTTTGTAAAAATTGAGCGTTCTTTCCATCTTTAAAAAACCCAAAGTATTAGCACCGTTTTAAGCTCCAAACGAGCCATAAAATGCGTGGTACCTCTCTTTCACCCAGCGCTTTTGTAGCGAGAAAGTCAGATTGGGATCATCGGCGTGAGGGAGATGCTAATTATAATTTGGGATTATCACTCCGACACTTGCTGAGCCTCGACAGCCGTGATTCGCCAGTTTGGCGAAACGGAGCCGCGCTTTTGACGGCCCGCCACCTTCCCTCGCCGCTCATTAAAACTTTTTATTTTGTAACAAAAATTATTTTTCTTTTCTTTTTATATTTTTTATGGAAGATGGAAAAAAATTTTTTCCCAGGCAACGTCAGAGGCTTCTAAAGGCCTTTCAGCGCACGGCGGTTGAAAGCTGTTCCGGGCGAAAAGAACTCGGGGTGTGACAAGCTGTATTTTTCGTTCTGTCGCCCTGTTCGGATTGGGGCAAAATAACAGGCCATCAGTGACTTCTAATTTGGTGAAGTAGCCAGAGGCGGTGTTTCTTCTTTACTTTTGGGAAAATCAATGACAGCCACGGGAAATCGGCTCGGCTCGAGACGGGCCTTCGCCTTTTTTCAAATGTCAACGCTCCTTCCCACCGAGACAGCTATTTTGTTAAAATTAAAATATATGCACCGCGACGCCAGCCTGAGCGCCGTGCGCGGGAGAGAAAGTGACATCCGTGCACTTTGGGGACCAGGTGTCAGCTTCCACTGCAAACTTTTTGACGGTAAAACTTACAACACGCTAATTTTATTGCATTTTGAAGCCCGCCCACTTGCGATCCTTAGCGTTCAAAGTTCTCGACTCATAAGAGGCTTATTTTTTTCCCCTTTTGTGAAAGGAGGTGTCAAGAATTTAGAGGAGGCTGAGATATTAGGTGGTACTCTAATATATATACTTATTGATTTTCTGGTACACCATTTATGGCATCATCCTGTGACACCCCACAGTCCATAGACTTTAGACCTTCAGGAAAGTTTTGACCTCTTTTTCGTCTGGGGTGTTTCTGATTTCAAATCATGCAGAGGTTCCAATTAGAAGCCCCGCGATATGATATTTTTATTTTATCAAAAAAAGAGACACTTTCTGCCGCCTGCTCCAGGGTGGAAGGCTTGCCACAACAGAGTGGTGTTGGGGGACACGTATTTGAGTCCCCCTCTGCTTCCTGTCTAGATACTAGGGAACAGCAGGACCCCTCTGTCTGTGGGGTTGGTATCCACGGATTCACTTATCCGCTATCTGAAACGACTAAGTAAAACCTCCCAGAAATACTGTATGTATTTCTATGTATTTCCAGGGTGTACTTACTAGAACTGCCTACTAGATTAAGGAGCCAGACGCCATGCAATGTAATGGTGCGGCTTAAAAAAAAAAAATCAAACGAACGAACGAACGAACGAATGGACGGACAGATGGACGAACGAACAAACGAACGAATGAAAATGTATAGCGTTAAATACTTCCACATTTTTCGGCATCTACATTGGGGGGGCTTGGTACGGGCTCCCCCGTGGATACCACAGTGCCACCCTATTTGCTTCTGTTTTGCACCCACTCCTGCTAAGCTCCACCTGCGAAGAATGGAAGCCTTAAAGCCACAGTGGGCAAATTCCAGATTTGATTTCCCCCCCCGCCCCCGGGCCTTCTGGGAGAAAAGCCAGCCTGGGTAGCCTTGGGCCAGCTGCACCGTCCCAAGGGTGCCCCCTAGAGGAATGGAAGGGTAAAGCACCTCTTGAGTCCTCTCTACCTGGAAAAACTTTAAAAGGGTTAACCTAAGTCAGAATCGACTTGATAGCCAGGAAGCTTGAAGTTTGAAGTCCTAAGAGGGCCACTTGCCCAACGTCGGGGTGGAAGCCTCCCCTTTGGCATTTATGGACAGCAGGAATGCTGGCAAGACTTCAGGTCCCGCGTCTGAGTCCCCATTAAAAAACAAGCCTTCCTCCCCTGTAAAAAAAAAAAAAGCAGGTAGGTTCTGAGTCACAACTCGAGTTCGAATCATTGAAAAAAAAACAACAACACCTAAGTGGAGTCTGAGTCGATTCACCGTCGCAACGTACGTCTGACTTGATGGCGAGTCTCACATCCTTCATTTATAGTTATTCATGGAACGATTTTCAGCTGCAAATCAGGTAGCTGGTTTTTTTCCCCCTCTCTTGTTTTGGAACAACGAAGCGGGGAGAAGGCGGCCCTCCGATGACTTCTTTCTGCACTGTCTTCTCCCAGCCAAATTATAACAGATGAAGAGGGACCAGCCAATACCCTTGGGTAAATTCCTCTCTCTCTTAATCTTAATCTCCCGCACTCTTCCTGGCTCCGCCGCAGTGCGAAAAACTTCCCAAGATTTGTCTCTTGCTGCCTGTCCAGCCTGCACCCCCTATTTCTCTCTCTTCCCCCCCCAGTTCAGTCTCCCTCCTCTACCCACCCCGGGCTTTAATTGTTCCCCCTTGGCTAACGGACTTGTCTGGTTTAACAAGGACGGCCTAGAACCGAGAGCAGGGGGAGGTAACTGAACTTGAGCTACCCTCTTAAGTCTCCTGCCCTTGCAGCTAATTAGAGATGAGGGCCAACGGGGCCTTCGGATATCGGTTTTAATTGTTTGCGGCCTGGTGAGCATTAAAAAAAAACCCTAATAGCAGGAACATGTGTGTGTGTTGCAACAAGAGAGGTGGGAAGACCTCAACTCTGATGTAAATGGACATTTCCAATTTGTACAGCTTTGTGTTTTTTTTTAAAGCTACTATTTTAATTTTTTTTTTGTAGGAAACGGGGATTCAATTAGCCTCGTGAGATGGTTTGGGGGTATCAGCAGGCTGCCGGAGGGGGTGAGAGCGAAGGAGCCCCCCCACCCGATCTGAGTCTAAAATAACCATCCTTAAGATGCTTGTAAAGCATAAAGTCACATTAGGAGGCCCAGAGAGCTTTACAGATCGTCCTGTAAATAGATCCGGCCCATAAAACCGCAGAGAGAAAGGGCCTCCAGGATCGTTTTCAAAATGATCTCCATTTGTCCTCATTTTCCCTTTGAAGGATGGGGAGGAATAAAAAGAAGAAGAAGAGGGTGGGGGAGGAAAAAAACCCACCCTACATACACAGCTCGGAGCGAAATATTTAGGATCATTCTTTCTGGAGAGGTGCAAAACCCCTCGGCCGCATCCGTGGCTCGCGGGCGTCACGTTGTGTTGTGTTGTTGAAAGATCACCAACACCATTAAAATTGTGGGGGAGAAAAACCCCTCTTCCTGGCCACTCAGCAGGAACCTTCGTTTTGTGCCAAGCATTAGATGACCCTGCATTTCCATAAGCTTTCACATAATTGGAAGAAAGAAAACAGCAAAATAAATGACTCAGTCATGGGCGACCAGCAAAGGGGGGGGGGAAGAGGCTTGGTTTCCCCCCCTCCCCACACGGCCATCCGGAGCATCAGAAAAATCTGTTATTTGACTCAGAGGGCCCATCTGCTCC